AATTGTTCGGCACAGCAGCGTCGGTTCTTGCTGAATAAATCTGTCGCGCTCTCTCTGAACCATTTTCTCCGTCTCTCCGAATAATCGTATCTCCATCTCGCAGATGCATTCGCCTTCGCTCTTTATTTATCTGAGAGTGAACAAAATCTGCGCGCGTTACACTTTTGACATTATTGTTCAACATCTCTCACCCCCCTCTTCCAGCCTTCCACTCAGCCCCCTCGCCCCCAACGCCCCCCCCCCCCCCCCACAATGCTCCGGACACCCCCCCCCCCCGCTCTCGCCGCGTGACTCGGTAACAGCACCGCGCACTCAGCATTGATTGGAGCGCCACCGCCTCCGCTGCTGCTTCATTCCGCGGTTATTAAATCCATAATCGAGCGAGCTGAGGAATCCTCCTGGGGGAGAGACGGGAAATTGGCAGAGGCGAGCGGGCGGCGGACCACGATGGTGGTGGTGGTGGTGGTGATGGTGATGATGGGTCATTCGTCATTGACATGGGGCCTCCCATTAGACCGAGTAGATATGAGTTCATTGACACAGTTGGTCGGTCGGTCAAAGGAGCAGCCGTGCGAGTCGATTTTCTTAGCGCTACTTTACTCACGGATTGTCCATCGCTCAGAGGGAGTTCCGCGGATCCGCTCTAAGTCTCTCGAGGGCGTTTGGCCTCCTCTTCCACGCTGTTCAAGTGAGAAAATAGAGTAGGAGTAGCCGCACTTTACCCCACCACACGCCACGTGCTGATCGACTTCACTGTGCTATGTGCCCGTGTAGACTCCTGGGTGGAGTGAGCCGAGGATGAGGAGGGGCAGGGGGAGGGTTAAGGATTTTTTTCCGTACGGCTGCAACCCAGAGGCTGCAATCCAGCTGGGTCTGTGCTTCGGGTAGGGGACCCGGGACACGTTTCCGCACCAGGCAGACCACATCAAGTATGCCTCTTGCGATGACTGCTCCAGTAATCGAAGCATCCATGTTACACGCCCCATACTCTTGATGTCCACTCCCATAGGGCCTTCTCCTCCTACCGCGCGTTCACCTCGGAGTGGATCAACTCCACGCGTGGTTCCGCTCATTGACCTACACATGATGATGACGATGATGCCGGGAATAGAGTGTTGTCCCCTCGCACGCGTGGGTTTTCTCCGGGTGCTAAGGATGTCCTTCCACGTGTAGTTGGTCGAAAACACCTTAAAATATATATCGAGGAACGCAGAGCTTGGGCAATTGCTGGTGGCGTCGACTCCTCACCACCGCCTGGCTGCTGCTTCCATCCCGCTCGACTGTGGCTCCTCCTCGCGCCTCTGAGTCGCTCTCTGAGTCGCTCACTCTGGCAGTTCACCAGCAATGCTTCAAGTAAGCCCGGAGGAAGACGACGTTTCTGCCACCCAGTGGTGTGCAAGGTGCTGCTTGTCCATTCAAAGACGCCGCCTTTGTTGGTCGTAATGCGCATCTCATGATGCTGTGGCTTGCAACGTTTGGTCGTACATGTCACGTATATCGTTTATTGTCAAATTGGAAATCACAGTTCCTGTGATCACTGTTACATTGTTTTTAGAACTTTATTTTGGTGATTTCGAAAAGGTTCTGGTTTAGCCATATTTGTTTGTTGTAGTACACAGAGTTAGACTGGTAACTGTAATCTAAATTGTCGTATGGTTGTTATTGTTTGACTTGCATCCCACTGGGATTTTGGCACACAGCGTTGAAGCGCGGTGCTTTTTCTGGAAGACTTTGCTGTTTTTTTCCTGGATTTTTCTGTTGCGCGTAGTCACTTTAAGATGTTTTCTTGTTCATGTTTTTGTTTGTTGTGGTTGCACCCGATTCAAGAGCCGAATGGCTCACAGGGCTATACCTAATAAATGAACTGAACTGAATGAACTGAACTGAACTGAATGTCGAAACCGGTCCAGAGGTTTGCTTCTATTGAACCAATGCTGCTGATGAGATGCGCTCTCGGAAGACCGTGCGGCTGATGGGATGTGTAAACATATCTTTATACGCGTAGGCATTGTTGTCTGCTTAGTCGCTTTGTGACCTATATTCCCCCCACCGACTTCTGATGAGTAGTGTGTGATTACGAAGGGGGTTGAGTTGATACCACATGGTGTAGCAAATGAGAATCTGTATTTATTCTGGAGGAGGAATCCGCTGAGCTACAGAGATATTTTAAAGATGTCCAGTAGAGGCGGGTCAGAACGTTACAACAACAACAACAACATTAAACAAAACAACATGATATGAATGAAAATATAGGAAAGGTTAAAAAGTACAAAGACAACTAAACTATTTTTACTTTACCATTGGGCTGTATCCATCACCACAAGCAGAAGTCTAAGCGTGGCCAGTGCCTCAATTACGGACAAAATTTCCGATTTAATCTCATGTTCCACGGATGATTTGCCAACACGCCATCAAACACACCACGTCACCCTTGTTGATCAACATTTAATTCTTCCAAAATGCTACTCGCCTACTCTTGCTATCATTTAAATCTGTGAGCTAAATGTGCCATGCTTTGTGAAAACCTTTGGTAGCATTTTCCAGCGTTGCTGGTACCGACAAACCATCGAGGATAATCTCGCGTGACCCGAGGCGTGCCAGTGGCGGCGAGGGGGTCAGCACCATGGACAGCGACAGCCTCCGGGACTGCGTCTCTGCGTGTGCGTCTCTGAATCCGCCCACCTCCTCCTCCACGTTTCCTCCCCCTCGTATTCCCCTGCACTATTTTAAAAGTAGCCATCTGTGCAGAAGGAGGCAGCAGTAGGTCATACACTGACCTAGTTCTATCATCCGCCTCTTCCCAATTGTATACTCACGGCTGTATGAATTATAGACACACATACATGGCTCGAAGATAAAGATCCCTGTATAGTCTACACAAGCTGTTTGGGAAAGTGCTGTTCATGAGCACCAATGCAGGCCGGCACAGCACCCGGCCGCCTTTGTCTCCCCAGTGCTCATGTTTATACATCGCATGTGGTACTCATTGGTGGCTGAATCGATCTAGGGGGAGGCCCTGGACCGGTGCAGTTATTCGTCACTGATGTGTTGATTCGTGAGTGGAAATCAAACGCAGGTCGCCGTATTCGTCGCGTAGTGCGCTAACCACTGCCCTACCGCTCCCCGTATATAATACACAGAGACAAAGATCCCCCGCATAGCCTGAACAGACTGTTGGGGGAAGTGCTGTTAGCGAGCACCTATGGAGGCCCGAAAGGCACATGAGGGGGTGGGTGGCCAGCACCACGCCCGGCCTCCTTTGTCTCCTAAGTGCAATGCTTAAACACCGCACCAGGTACTCATTTCAGGCTGAGTCGACCTACGCGATGCCCAGGACCGGTTCAAATAATCGTCACTGGTGTTGGCCGTGAGCGCGAATCGGATACCGGGTCGCCAGGTTCATAGCACAGCGCGCTAACCGCTACACTACGGCTCCCCACTACACTAAATAACACACACGCATACACACATGCGTATACGAGTCGTGAAATCAATTCCGTACTTATTTTGGACAAACGTCGCTTTCGCAACGTGGAGAGAAACGAAACATTTCAACACGGGGAATTGAACACGCCAATTATAAAAAAGAAAAATCGCCAAAAACGAAAACAGCAAGGCTTACAAGTTTCCGGGAAAGTAAGAGCATTGGCGTTGCAATGCACAAGAACGGATGTCGTCGCTGAACTTGAGGCTGCATTATTCCAGACAAAAACATTTACTGGTGGCTACCACGGCCATTACCGGTTCCTCCTGAGTACCAACGAAACGCGAGTCCCCGGGGGTATCGCAATGGGTTCGGATTCGTGCTGTGGTTTAGGGTTATGGAACGGGTTCGAGGTGCACACAGCGTTAGGGTTGGGTTCGAGCTAACATCAGCCACTGATGTTTGAGCTATAATTTGTGGCCAGGTCGCTTCTGAAAAACAAGTTAATGCCTCAGTGGCCTTTACCTGGTAAGATTTAAATAAAGAGTTGAGTTTTATGAGTTTATATATATTTAAGTGACGTGCTTACCTTGCCTATACTTTGCGCTCCTATTGTGTTTTTTGTTTTCCTTGTTGCTCTAACGTTCTGACCCCGTGCACCTGCTGGAAAATCTGTGGACAAAATGAGCTTCATAGCTCATCGGATTCCTCCGGCGTAAAGAAATATTCTGATTCAAGTCGTGGGAATCAGCGCTGTGAGCTGAGCTTCCTACAGTCGCCGGGGATTGGCGCTCCGAGCCGCACTCGGCCACGAGTCCGGCTCGGAGCCGTCGTCCTCCGAGTCAGGCGAGCCGCGTCCCCGGTTCCCGTTGCTGTGCCGCACTCCCCTCCCCCCCCCCACCCGCCGCGCCAACCCTCTCCGAGAATCTCTCCTCCGTGAGCGCCTCTCTCTCTCGCTCCCTCTCTCACTCTCTTGCTTTTTTACGATCGGAGGAAACAAGAAGATGCTCGGTGTAGTCGGCACTTTGCTTCGTTCATCATTTCGTTTTTTTTTGTTTTTTAATGCTTTGCTTGCTTTATGTAACCCCCCCCCCCCCTTTTTAAATGAAATGTTTTACAATATCACAATAGGATTTCACGCTTTGCTCTCCTTTACTCCCCTCTCTCTACCCCTCTCTCTCTACGCCCCCTCTCTCTCTCTACCTCCTCTCTCTCTATCCCCTCTCTCCCTACTCCATGTCTATGTCCCCCCTGTTTTTCTATGTACATATTTTTAAACTACGACAAGTGCTGCATCTGCACCCAGCCCTTCTCGCAGTGCTACGGCCTCCGACGGTGGCTCAGATCTGCATGCAGAGCGCTCCGTCTTCATCCACCGAGCACACGGCCTCCTCCCTCTCTCTCTCTCTCTCTTTGATTCATTTTGTTTTAATTTTTGTCATCTTATTGTGGAGAATGTCCGGTGGTAAGAACACAGAAAGGACTCTGCCTTCAGAGCACTTTCACCATTCACAGCACTGCCTTGGAATGATTAAAATCATCCTCCCCATGGCAGCTTGCTGAACCCTTGGCTCATCTAGCTCTCGGGTTCCTGGACTGTGGCCTTCTTGCTCACGTAGATGCCATCGAGGAACTTGCCGATGTCCTTGTTTTAAACAGTGGCGGCCTGCATGAATGAGGGCAGCAGAATTTGAGACGAGTTCAATGTCATTCCCTTCAAGAATGAGCTCACTCTTCTGGTTGGTGGAGAGGGCACATGTCACCCCGGGCCTCGTCTGCACGCGCCGCGTGAACTTCTCGCCCAGGAAGTTGCGGATCTCCACCAGCTTGCCAGTATCTTGGACCGCCACATTGATAGGGAAGTGGGCATACACCGAGCGCATCTTGTACCGGAATCCCAGCGTCACCCCCTTCATCATGTTCATCACGTGACTACAGATGGTCCGCACCGTGGCAAGCTCTCTCTCTCCCCCTCTCTCTCTCTCCCTCTCCAAACGCCACGCACGGCGGCGGCGGCGGCTCCCGTCCTCTACGCGTCTAAAGTTGTCAGTGCGCGGTCTTCGCTTTTACGACACGACGGAAATTCGGTCGTAACTCGGGGATTGCCGCCGTAAATCGGGAGGGGGGGTCCCCGTCGTAAATCGGACCCTACTTTCCCATGATCGCAATGTTAATATCCTTGGTGACGACGCAATGTGCAGTCTACCTGGAGAATAGCTCAGAAGGAGGAGGCGGGGAGGTGGAGGGGGGGCGGGGCGAGAATAATTCAGAGGGGAAAAAAATAAATAGACGCAGTTGACTCCATCACACATTTTGTTGAATTAAGTCAGAATGTGTTTGTCATCTGCCGTGTACGTGCTGCTGTGTGCAGCTTAGCTCTGCGTGTGATGCGGCTCTCGAAATATTTTGGTCGAAGCCAGGAACACAAAAAAAAATTGGCGCTTCTTCATTGAAAGGTTGGCGACCCTCGGTCAACTCCAATCATCCATCTACCCGCCTCTCCCTCCCCCCACCATCCCCCCACCATCCCCCCACCTCCCCCCACCTCCCCCCACCATCCCCCCCACCCACCCACCGTTGGGAGCTGGCGTCTCAGCGCCGCGTGCTGGTTTGATGTGAAGCGCTCGGGCTGATTTCGCTGAAAGGAAAGAGGTCTCCCGGGCTATTAAAGGCAACAAAACTCTGCCGAGGAGTGGTGCTGTTATTCCTATTGTTGTTGTTGTGAAATACAAACAAAAGCGCCATTTGCTCGGCTAGTGTGTATGTAGTGTAATGTGTTTCATGTTTGTTTGTGTAGTGCGTGTAACGTGTGTACTTGTGTTATGTTTGTATAATGTTTGTGTAACACGTGTGATGATTTATGTGTGTGTATAATGTGATGCTGTGTAATGTGTGTATGCAATGTATGTGTGAAGTGTGTGTGTAATATGTGTATGATGTGTTTAGTGTGTGTGTAATGTGTGTATAAGGTGTGTGTAATGTTTGTGTGCAATGTGTGTGTATAATGTGTGTGTGTGTGTGTATAATGTGTGTGTGTAATGTGTGTGTTGGTGTAATCTGTAAGTATAATATGTGGGTGTAATGTGTGTGTGTGATATGTATCGTTTTGTGTGTGTGTGTAATGTGTGTGTAATGTGTGTATACTATGTGTGTGTGGATGTAATGTGTGTGTGATGTGTGTAGTGTAGTGTGTGTAATGTGTGGGTGTACAGTGTATGTGTGTGTATATATAATGTGTGTAATGTGTGTGTTGGTGTAATGTGTTTGTGTGGGTGTAATGTGTGTGTGTGTGTGGATTAGGCGTCCATTATTCGTGCCGCCACGTGTCGCTTTAACTGTTCCCATGCGGTCACCACTCAATCCGCCTCAATGGCGAATCGCGGCGCTGGGATCACAGAACGTCCGCGGCGCCAGCGGAGACCGTGGGCTCTGAGTGTCAGCGACGCCGGCGGTGCTGATTGATTGCTTGGCTGACGATGACTGATCGTTGAAGGCGAAGTTGCTCTCGCTATGAGTAACAAATCACATTGGCTTCGGCTCGCAACGCTGCGTCGTCGATTAACAGGTTGTACTCGTTATCGTACAGAGATAGAAGGTGTGGGGGGGGGGGGGGGGGGGCGACTCAGAGGCGCCAGGAGGAGGAGCCACAGACGAGTGGGAAGGGCAACAGCGGCAGCCACGCACTGACGCCAAGCTCTGCGGTCCTCGATATATAGAGGTGCTATCGGCCAATTAATGAGTGTTTACACGCGGGAGGAAACCGGAGCACCGGGAGAAACCCCGCGCGTGTGATGGAGAAACACTCTATCCCGTACAGAGCAACCACAGACGAGCAGAAAGACAGTCACAGCCAAGCTCTGCAGTCCTCTATACGTTAAGATATTTTCAGACAATTAATTAATCATACCTGTGGGAGGAAACCGTATCAGCTGGACACAATCTGCACGTGCGAGGGCAGAAACACTCCATCCCTGTACAGATGGAACAGATGGAGTCCAGAATTTGGCTGTAGCCCCTTCTCCTGGTCAACCAGGAGATACGGCTGCTCATCGACGCCTACGGAACGGGAGTTTCGCAGCAACATCTCTGTGTGTGTGTGCGGTGAGCCACCAACCCTCGCCACAGGCCACGTGCAGCGTGGCCACCACCGCTCGTCTCGTGATGATGATCTATTGATGATGACGCTGTGGACATTGCTCGCAATGATGATGATGTTGATCGTGACGACAATTATATTGATGTGCGTGGCAGACGTGGGGCAGTGTAGATCCATGCAGAAGGGCGGGAGCATTGCGACCTGCAACCCCCCCCAAACCTCCCCCTCCCATATGTGGCTCCACCTCTGAGTAGAATAAAGATCCGCAGAAGTCTCCATTCCAGTCACACTTGTCAACGATAGCAACAACACGAATCAATATCGCCGTCGACAACAACGACACTAACCGCAACACTAACAATAGCACAACATCAACAACAACAAAAACAACAGAACGCAACATAACCCCTGCCAAATCAATATTCTACAACCGAACTCTCTAACACCACCAACACAATCAACAACAACAACAATCACGTCAATCATTTATCCAGAAGACGCTTCACTGGACTCAGCGATGTGATGATGGCAAGGGGAGGAGGTGAGTGGGTGGAGGAGGGAAGGTCACGATCTCGGGTCAAACCCAAATCTGAATGTTAGAAGAAAATGGAATGTCGCGCTCCATAGCCACGCAACGAGAACTCACGCGGAAGCCACACACGTCTAAACTCATTCATTCACTCATTAAATCACTCAAGGCATTCACTCCCTCATTCCACACTCACGCACCCAATATTCACACACTATTCATGCACTGGATCAGCACTCGTTTAATTCACTTCCCACTTAATTCATTCACTCGGTTATTATGTGCAGTACTCACAGACTCAAGTACTGGTTCACTTCTCACTAATTCACCCTCACTCCATACACGAACATCTATCCGTACATGACGAACCTAGAGATGACCATGCACCTCTGTATGTGGAGGTTATTATGAACATCCATCCTTGCGTGGAGCTGCACATGGTACCTTGTCTCTATCCCAGGGTGGAGCTGCCCATGGTACCTTGTCTCTATCCCAGGGTGGAACTGTCCATGGTACCTTGTCTCTATCCTAGGGTGGAGCTGTCCATAGTACTTTGTCTCTATCCCAGGCTGGAGCTGTCCATGGTACTTTGTCTCTATCCCAGGGTTGAGCTGTCCATGGTGTTTGTTTCTATCCCAGGGTGGAGCTATTCATGGTACCTTGTCTCCATCCGAAGGTGGAGCTGTCCATGGTACCTTGTCTCTATCCCAGGGTGGAGCTGTCCATGGTACCTTGTCTCTATCCCAGGGTGGAGCTGTCCATGGTACCTTGTCTCTATCCCAGGGTGGAGCTGTCCATGGTACCTTGTCTCTATCCTAGGGTGGAGCTGTCCATAGTACTTTGTCTCTATCCCAGGCTGGAGCTGTCCATGGTACTTTGTCTCTATTCCCAGGGTGGAGCTGTCCATGGTGCTTTGTCTCTATCCCAGGGTGGAGCTATTCATGGTACCGTGTCTCTATCCCAGGGTGGAGCTGTCCATGGTACCTTGTCTCTATCCCAGAGTGGAGCTGTCCATGGTACTTTCTCTCTATCCCTGGGTGGAGCTGTCCATAGTACATTGTCCCCATGCCAGGGTGGAGCTGTCCATGGTACTTTGTCTCTATCCCTGGGAGGAGCTGTCCATGGTACCTTGTCTCTATCCCTGGGTAGAGCTGTCCATGGTACCTTGTCTCTAACCCAGGGTGGAGCTGCCAATGGTACCTTGTCTCTATCCCTGGGTGGAGCTGTCCATGGTACCTTGTCTCTAACCCAGGGTGGAACTGCCCATGGTACTTTGTGTTTATCCCAGGGTGGAGCTGTCCATGGTGCTTTGTCTCTATCCCAGGGTGGAGCTATTCATGGTACCTTGTCTCTATCCCAGGGTGGAGCTGTCCATGGTACCTTGTCTCTATCCCAGAGTGGAGCTGTCCATGGTACTTTCTCTCTATCCCTGCGTGGAGCTGTCCATAGTACATTGTCCCCATCCCAGGGTGGACCTGTCCATGGTACTTTGTCTCTATCCCTGGGAGGAGCTGTCCATGGTACCTTGTCTCTAACCCAGGGTGGAGCTGCCAATGGTACCTTGTCTCTATCCCTGGGTGGAGCTGTCCATGCTGCGTTGTCTCTATCCCTGGGTGGAGCTGTCCATGGTACTGCGGTTCTATCCCTAGGTGGAGCTGTCCATGGTACCTTGTCTATATCCCACGGTGGTGCTGTCCATGGTACTTTGTCTCTATCCCAGAGTAGAGCTGTCCATGGTGCCTTGTCTCTTACCCAGGATGGAGCTGTCCATGGTACTTTGTCTCTATCCTAGGGTGGAGCAGTCCATGGTGCCATAGTCTCTATCCCAGGATGGAGCTGTCCATGGTACCTTGTCTTAATCACTGGGTGGAGCTGTCCATAGTACCTTGTATCTAAACTAGGGTGGAGCTGTCCATGGTACCTTGTCTCTATCCCTGGGAGGAGCTGTTCATGGTACATTGACTCTATCCCTGGGTGGAGCTGTCCATGGTACCTTGTCTCTATCCCAGGTAGAGCTGTCCATGGTGCCTTGTCTCTAACCCAGGGTGGAGCTGTCCATGGTGCCTTGTCTCTTACCCAGGGTGGAGCTGTCCATGGTACTGCGTCGCCATCCCAGGGTGGAGCTGTCCATGGTACTGCGTCTCTATCCCTAGGTGGAGCTCTCCATGGTACCTTGTCTCTATCCCAGGGTGGAGCTGTCCATGGTACCTTGTCTCTATCCCAGGGTGGAGCTGTCCATGCTGCCTTGTCTCTAACCCAGGGTGGAGCTGTCCATGGTGCCTTGTCTCTAACCCAGGGTAGAGCTGTCCATGGTACCTTGTCTTAATCCCTGGGTGGAGCTGTCCATGGTACTTTGTCTCTATCCCAGGATGGAGCTGTCCATGGTACCTTGTCTTAATCCCTGGGTGGAGCAGTCCATGGAACTTTGTCTCTATCCCAGGGTGGAGCTGTCAATGGTACTTTGTATCTATCCCTGGGTGGAGCTGTCCATGGTGCCTTGTCTCTATCTCAGGGTGGAGCTGTCCATGGTACCTTGTTTCTAACCCTGGGTGGAGCTGTCCATGGTACTTTGTCTCTATCCCACGGTGGAGCTGTCCATGGTGCCTTGTCTCTAACCTAGGGTGGAGCTGTCCATGGTGCCTTGTCTCTTACCCAGGGTGGAGCTGTCCATGGTACTGCGTCTCCATCCCAGCGTGGAAGCTGCCCATGGTACTGCGTCTCTATCCCTAGGTGGAGCTCTCCATGGTACCTTGTCTCTATCCCAGGGTGGAGCTGTCCATGGTACCTTGTCTCTATCCCAGGGTGGAGCTGTCCATGGTACTTTGTCTCTATCCCAGGATGGAGCTGTCCATGGTGCCTTGTCTTTAACCCAGGGTAGAGCTGTCCATGGTACCTTGTCTTAATCCCTGGGTGGAGCTGTCCATGGTACTTTGTCTCTATCCCAGGATGGAGCTGTCCATGGTACCTTGTCTTACTCCCTGGGTGGAGCAGTCCATGGAACTTTGTCTCTATCCCAGGGTGGAGCTGTCAATGGTACTTTGTATCTATCCCTGGGTGGAGCTGTCCATGGTGCCTTGTCTCTATCTCAGGGTGGAGCTGTCCATGGTACCTTGTTTCTAACCCTGGGTGGACTTGTCCATGGTACTTTGTCTCTATCCCACGGTGGAGCTGTCCATGGTGCCTTGTCTCTTACCCAGGGTGGAGCTGTCCATGGTACTGCGTCTCCATCCCAGCGTGGAAGCTGCCCATGGTACTGCGTCTCTATCCCTAGGTGGAGCTCTCCATGGTACCTTGTCTCTATCCCAGGGTGGAGCTGTCCTTGGTACCTTGTCTCTATCCCAGGGTGGAGCTGTCCATGGTGCTTTGTCTCTAACCCAGGGTGGAGCAGTCCATGGTGCTTTGTCTCTAACCCAGGGTGGAGCAGTCCATCGTGTCTTGTCTATAACCTAGGGTGGAGCTGTCCATGGTACTTTGTCTCTATCCCACGGTGGAGCTGTCTATGGTGCCTTGTCTCTAACCCATGGTGGAGGTGTTCATGGTGCCTGGTCTCCAACCAGGGTGGAGCTGTCCAGGGTACTTTGTCTCTATACGAGGGTGGAGCTGTCCATGGTTCCTTGTCTCTATCCTTGGGTGGAGCTGTCCATTGTGTCTTGTCTCTAACCTAGGGTGGAGCTCTCCATGGTGCCTTGTCTCTAACCAGGGTGGAGCTGTCTAGGGTACTTTGTCTCTATCTCAGGGTGGAGCTGTCCAAGTTACATTGTCTCTATCCCTGGGTGGAGCTGTCCATGGTACCTTGTCTCTAACCCAGGGTGGAGCTCTCCATGGTACTTTGTCTCTATCCCTGGGTGGTGCTGTCCATGATACTTTGTCTCTATCCCAGGATGGAGCTGTCCATGGTACCTTGTCTCTATCCCAGGGTAGAGCTGTCCATGGTGCCTTGTCTCTATCCTAGGGTGGAGCTCTCCATGGTACCTTGTCTCTATCCCAGGGTGGAGCTGTCCATGGTACCTTGTCTCTATCCCAGGGTGGAGCTGTCCATGGTACTTTGTCTCTAACGCAGGGTGGAGCTGTCCATCGTACTTTGTCTCTAACCCAGGGTGGAGCTGTCCATGGTACCTTGTCTCAATCTCAGGGTGGAGCTGTCCATGGTACCTTGTCTCTATCCCTGGGTGGAGCTGTCCATGGTACTGCGGTTCTAACCCTAGGTGGAGCTGTCCATGGTACCTTGTCTTCATCCCAGGGTAGGACTGTCCATGGTACTTTGTCTCTATCCTTGGGTGGAGCTGTCCATGGTGCCATAGTCTCTATCCCAGGATGGAGCTGTCCATGGTACCTTGTCTTAATCACTGGGTGGAGCTGTCCATAGTACCTTGTATCTAAACTAGGGTGGAGCTGTCCATGGTACCTTGTCTCCATCCCTGGGTGGAGCTCTTTATTGTACATTGACTCTATCCCTGGGTGGAGCTGTCCATGGTAACTTGTCTCTATCCCAGGGTGGAGCTGTCCATGGTACCTTGTCTCTATCCCAGGTAGAGCTGTCCATGGTGCCTTGTCTCTAACCCAGGGTGGAGCTGTCCATGGTGCCTTGTCTCTTACCCAGGGTGGAGCTGTCCATGGTACTGCGTCGCCTTCCCAGGGTGGAGCTGTCCATGGTAGTGCGTCTCTATCCCTAGGTGGAGCTCTCCATGGTACCTTGTCTCTATCCCAGGGTGGAGCTGTCCATGGTACCTTGTCTCTAGCCCAGGGTGAAGCTGTCCATGGTACCTTGTCTCTATCCCAGTGTGGAGCTGTCCATGGTGCCTTGTCTCTAACCCAGGGTAGAGCTGTCCATGGTACCTTGTCTTAATCCCTGGGTGGAGCTGTCCATGGTACTTTGTCTCTATCCCAGGATGGAGCTGTCCAATGTACCTTGTCTTAATCCCTGGGTGGAGCTGTCCATGGTACTTTGTCTCTATCCCAGGGTGGAGCTGTCAATGGTACTTTGTATCTATCCCCTGGTGGAGCTGTCCATGGTGTCTTGTCTCTATCTCAGGGTGGAGCTGTCCATGGTACCTTGTTTCTAACCCTGGGTGGAGCTGTCCATGGTGCCTTGTCTCTTAACCAGGGTGGAGCTGTCCATGGTACTGCGTCTCCATCCAAGCGTGGAAGCTGCCCATGGTACTGCGTCTCTATCCCAAGGTGGAGCTCTCCATGGTACCTTGTCTCTATCCCAGGGTGGAGCTATCCATGGTACCTTGTCTCTATCCCAGGGTGGAGCTGTCCATGGTGCTTTGTCTCTAACCCAATTTTGGAGCAGTCCATGGTGCTTTGACTCTAACCCAGGGTGGAGCTGTCCATCGTCCCTTGTCTCTAACCTAGGGTGGAGCTGTCCATGGTAGTTTGTCTCTATCCCACTGTGGAGCTGTCTATGGTGCCTTGTCTCTAACCCTGGGTGGAGGTGTTCATGGTGCCTTGTCTCTAACCATGGTGGAGCTGTCCAGGGTACTTTGTCTCTATACGAGGGTGGAGCTGTCCATGGTGCCTTGTCTCTATCCTTGGGTGGAGCTGTCCATGGTGCCTTGTCTCTAACCTAGGGTGGGGCTCTCCATGGTGCCTTGTCTCTAACCAGGGTGGAGCTGTCTTGGGTACTTTGTCTCTATCTCAAGGTGGAGCTGTCCAAGGTACATTGTCTCTATCCCTGGGTGGAGCTG